AACTACATTCCTAGGTTACAACATCGGTCACCAAGGAGTTAAAATGGATGAATCCAAAATCCAGGCAGTCACAGAATGGCCACAACCATCCACCGTAAAGGAGCTTCAAAGGTTTCTGGGATTTGCCAACTTTTATCGGCGCTTTATCAGAAATTACAGTATGATTGCTTCCCCCTTGACATCCCTCTTAAAGGGAAAACCCTCGAAACTAAAATGGACTGAAGAGGCCAATCAGGCATACAATACCTTAAAGGAAAGGTTTACAACAGCCCCCATCTTAAAACATCCTGATCCTGATCTCCCGTTTGTGGTGGAGGTAGACGCTTCAGACTGTGGAGTTGGAGCTATACTCTCCCAACGTCACGGCCAACCTGGTAAACTATATCCATGCGCATTCTTCTCAAGAAAGTTAAGTGCAGCAGAAAGGAATTATGATGTGGGGAACAAAGAACTTTTGGCCATGAAAGCAGCCATCGAAGAGTGGAGACACTGGCTCGAAGGAGCAATCCATCCCTTTCAAGTAATAACCGACCACAAGAATCTAGAATACATCAAGAGTGCCAAACGACTCAACTCACGCCAAGCTCGCTGGTCTCTGTTTTTCACACGGTTTCAGTTTACAGTAACATATCGACCAGGCAGTAAGAATGGCAAAGCAGATGCCTTATCTAGGCGATATGATCTTCCCACAGAAAACTTCACACCAAAAGGTATTCTCCAACCTTCTATTGTCATCGCCCCAGTCACCTGGGACATAATGGAGGAAATACAAAGGGAACGTCTACAAGAGCCTGCACCTAATAACTGCCCTCCTGACAAACAGTATGTACCACATGATCTACGTCACAGAGTAACGCAATGGGTCCATTCTTCTGTCAGCTCTGGCCATCCGGGTATATCTCGCACTCTTCGACTACTAAGGAACTCATTTTGGTGGCCTTCGATGACCAAGGATGTCGCTACTTATGTCAAAGCCTGCCAAGTCTGTGCCCAATCTAAAACCCCCAAAGAGTTACCTTCTGGTCTCCTCCAACCACTACCTATCCCACACCGTCCTTGGTCCCATCTGTCCATTGACTTTGTGACCGATCTACCGCTCTCCAATAGCTTCACTGCTATCCTTGTCATAATTGACCGCTTTTCCAAGTCCTGTCGGTTAGTTCCTCTAAAAGGTCTCCCCACTGCCATGGAAACTGCTCAAGCACTATTTCATCATGTCTTTCGGATTTATGGTATACCTGATGATATTATCAGCGATAGAGGAACCCAATTTACGTCCCAAGTTTGGAGAGCTTTTTGTAAGCATCTGGACATCAACATCAGTCTCACGTCAGGATATCACCCTCAGTCTAATGGACAAGTGGAACGATTAAACCAAGAAATAGGCAGATATCTTCGATCATACTGCAGCCGAGAACAACACCGCTGGTCGGAATTCCTCCCATGGGCAGAATATGCACAAAACTCCTTAACTCACTCCTCAACTGGCCTGACCCCCTTCCAGTGCGTCCTTGGGTATCAACCTCCTTTGTTCCCGTGGTCTGGTGAACCCTCGGTCCCTGCAGTGGACGATTGGATCCGGCGTAGTGAGAGGGTGTGGGACAGTGCACACGTCCGTCTTCAGAGAGCTGTAAGAGTTCAAGAACTCCAGGCCAACAGGCGACGTCGCCCACATCCTCCCTACCAACCAGGACAGCGGGTCTGGCTTTCAACTAGGGACCTCAAGCTGCGGCTACCGAGCAGGAAGCTCAGCCCTAGGTACGTTGGTCCTTTCAAAATTCTAAAAAGAATAAACGAGGTCACATACCAATTGGAGCTTCCTGCTAATTATCGTATCTCTCCATCCTTTCATGTTTCCCTCCTCAAACCGGTCCACCCGGGGTCTGACCCCAACGCTGAGGCTCGAGAGCCGCCACCTCCCCTGGATGTTGATGGAACTCCAGCTTACAAGGTGAATGAGTTACTGGACTCTAGACGGAGAGGGGGTCAGCTCCAATACCTGGTGGACTGGGAGGGCTATGGACCTGAGGAGAGATCATGGGTAGCCGGTCGCGATATTCTGGACCCTTCTCTCATCGAGGATTTTCATCGTGCTAGACCTGACCGACCAGCGCCACGACCACGGGGACGCCCACGTCGAGCGCCAGGAGGCGCTCCTAAGGGAGGGGATTCTGTAATGCCACGCCAGCAGAGGGAGCCCTCTCCTGAATATTGACTGTGTACCGCTCCCTCTGCTTCTACTTTCATTTCCTGTTTGGATTGTATTTCTGTAGAGTTTGTGTGTTTGCACATTGCGAAGTATTGCCAGTTCATCTGCCTTACCAAGCGTTACCTTTGTTCTCTGCCTTCTGACCTTGTGTATGATTCTGCCTGTTTATCTGATTCACGCTCTTTGGATTACCCTTCTGTTCTGGTTGCCTGTTTTTCGGACTGATGACTGTGTTTGGACCTTTTGCCTGTTTCCTCATCTCTGCCTTTTGGATTACCCTTGTGTATGTCGTTAGATCGGACTGCTATTGTGATTTTGACCTATTGCCTGGCTTAACATTCCCTTCACTACAACCTGCTGCTAATAAACACCCGCAAATGGATTCTAATGCTGCCTCAGCCTCGTCCTTACAGAAGCATGTTCAGCGCCATCTTTTGCTGCATCACCCACAGCATATTTTGTTGTTTTCGGAAAATCTTTCTTAGGTTTAGAGCGATGGTCCATTACCCAACAATGAAAGCAAGCATCAGGTAGTCAAAAACATTGAGCGTAAGCTCATTCAGCATGGTTTTAAAGTACTAAATAAGACGAAAGGTATAGGAGTTAGGAACTCCACGTTTGCTTATCTCTTCAGCATTACGGATCTCCCAGAGGAAAGCTTACTTTGACCCAGGAGAACGGACCAGAGATGTCGCCTCCACCCAGAGGTGCCAAATTTGTGTCTATTGGATATCAACAACTTTTTACTTGTTGCAACTTACAAAGTCCAGTTCTTTCCATTTTTTTTTTCAGCAACAACTGAGAAATTTGTCCAAATATCAGACTTTCCTTGTTTTGGTTTTGTACAGTAAAGCACCACTTTAATGTTCAGAGCCCTGCAGTCTCTTGTTGGTCTCATTATAAAGAGTGAATATGTCAGCAAGGTATGCGGTTTTGATCCAGAACACATCAGTCAGCTGCTCCAACAGTGTGTTTTGATTTCGCAGAAATTCCAGAATTTTATCCTGCAGTTCTAGAAAGCGCACAAGCACTTTGCCACACGAAAGCCAGCGCACCTCCGTGTGTAGCAGTAGAGTTTGGTGCGCTTCATCCTCACACAGTTGTGCAAATAATCTCTGGTTGGTAGGGCGAGCTTTAATGAAGCTTAAGACTTTTACAACGGTTGCCAGTGTGTCACCAAGGTCTCTGGACAGTTTTTTACTGGCGAGTGCCTGGCGATGTATCATACAGTGGAAAATTACACAGTCTGGAGCCTTTTCCATCAAACGGCTGTCCCTTATTTCTACCCATCATCGCGGCAGCTCCATCCGTGCAGCAAGCGACGATATTTGTGTAGGGCAGATTGTACGATGTGAGGTATGAATCAACAGCCGTAAAAAAATCGTAAAAAAATCGTTGTTGTGGGTAAATTGGTAGACATAAGTATGTCCCGTTTCAACTCATCTCCGTCCACATACTGTACATATACGATAAGCACAGACTCTCCCGCTACTGTGGTCATTTCATCCAGCTGTATAGCAAATTGGACTTCTCTAAGCTTTTTGTGCAACTGTTTTTTGCAGTTTTCTGCCATTTTATCAATTCTGTCTTTAACAGTGTTGTTAGAAAGTGGGACAGATTTAACCTTTTCAGCTGCTTGCGGGCCACATAGTCCCTCCACTATTTTAATGCAGGCGGGTTTGATTAACTCCTCTCCAATATTATGCGGCTTTTTTGCCTTGGCAATCAACAGCGAACACTCAAAGGAAACTTTAGTGGCCTTCTGTAAATCACTACCTGCTCTTTCGAATACTTTTCTGATGTCTGTCGATCTTTTTGACAGAGCCATCTCTTTTTTTCTCTCTAAGAATTCCTTATCTTTGCCGATTGTCTCTGGGTGCTTCGTTTCCTGGTGTCTTTTCATCTTGCTTGGTTTCATGCAGTCGTTTGCCAGTTTTTCAAAACAAAAGACACATTCTGGCCGAGACTTGTCTTGGCCTTCAATAAAACCAAAATTTATGTAGGTTTTGTCATAGTGTCTTAACTTTTTCTTCGCCTCTGATGAACAATCACCGCATTTACGTTTCTCATGCCATCTTCCTTTTGATTTTGCCGTTACTATGACAACAAGCACATTGGGCAAGTGACGGTGTGCACGCACAATTTAAATAATTATTTTATATAAGAGATCATTTTTGACTGCTTTATTTTGGCATTATAAGCATATGATTTTTTTTTATTTTTTTTTTGAACAAATATTTTTATATAAAATTATTAGTGGAACATTTTATGCATCTTTATTCACCTCAAAGCATATCTGCTCCCGCGCCCCCCCTGTGAACTCTGGCGCCCCCCTGAGGGACCCCAGGTTGGGAACCAATGGTTTAGAAGGTATAGGATCTAGCATTTGGATTTCATGTTTTACACGTCTAAATGTTTTCATGTCTGTTTTTAGTGCCATTTAACTGGTATTAACTTGTTTCTGTTTCTTTTCACTGTAGACCCGATGGAGCTGAAACAGGAGAGTCAAGAACTGAATGAAAGGAAAGAGAAAGATCAGTATGAGAAATGTCATGAATTTATGACTGTGGTAAAATCTTTTAGTTACTCACAGACTTATACAACAAAAACTAGAAACCTCCAGATGAGAGGTCACACTGGAAAGAGCCCTTTAACCTGTCAACATTGTGGAAAAAGTTTCAGTCGAAAAGGAAGCCTTAAAGTCCACATGAGAGTTCACACTGGAGAGACGCCTTACTCCTGTCAACAGTGTGGAAAAAGTTTCAGTCGAAAAGAAAGCCTTAAAGTCCACATGAGAGTTCACACTGGAGAGAGCCCTTTGACCTGCCAACAGTGTGGAAAAAGTTTCAATCGAAAAGACAGCCTTAAATTCCACTTGAAAATGCATGCTGGAGAGAAACCGTTCATATGCCCTCACTGTGGAAATAGATTTACACAGAAAAAAATCCTTAATGCCCACATGAGAGTTCACACTGGAGAGAAGCCTCACTCCTGCCAACAGTGTGGAAGGAGCTTCACGATGAAAGGAAATCTTAAGACTCACATGAGAATTCACACTGGAGAGAAGCCATTTGTTTGTGATCAGTGTGGAAAGAGTTTTAGATTTAAAGAGAGTTTTTATAATCACCTTACGAGGATTCACTCAGGAGAGAAATGTCATCAGTGCAATAGGAGTTTCACAGACAGGAATCACCTTGAGAATCATGTAAAAATTCACACTGTAGTGAAGCCTTACATGTGTCATCAGTGTGGAAAGAGTTTCACACAGAAAGGAAACCTTGAGAATCACATGAGAATTCACACTGGAGAAAAGCCTTTCACCTGTCCTCAGTGTGGTAAAAGCTTCACGATTAAAGGAAAGCTTAAGATTCACATAAGATCTCACACTGGAGAGAAGCCTTACAAGTGTCTTCAGTGTGAGAGGAGCTATAAATATCACTCAGACCTGAAACGGCATTTGCAAACTCATTCTGAAAAAAAATAGCCATTTTCTTCACTGTGACGAGGTTTAAAAAAGGAGAAATTTCAAGAATCATTTGCCATTCACTCTGGAGAAAGTCAATTCAGTTGTGATCAATGCAATAAAAACATTAAACTTACAAATACATGTGAGACCCTGTTTGTGTTCTTTGTTTAAAGGGGTCATATAATGCCATTTTTGTACAAGTTAATATGAATCTTTAGGGTCTAAATGAAAACTTTGTAATATACTTTTATTAAAAATTTTCATTAGTATTATAAAAAAACCTCTAATTTTACCTGGTCAAAAACAGCTCTGTTTTCAGCACGCCGTTTCAGTGCATATGCCTTTAAATGATAATGAGCTTTGCTGACTCCGCCCCTCTGTTCTGTGGGGCGTTTTGACAACGCACGTGGAGTGTTGCCTTGACAACAGTTGAGGGTATATTTTATAGAAAGAATGGCAGCGGGAGTCTCCGAGGACACATCTGTGCAACCGTATCAATTTGAACCGGAGTCGGACCCGGAACAAGATGGTTAACGTAATGTCACTTTGATCTATTTTTGTATGTACTGGCAGGGTTTTTAATAACACATTAACCATAACGCGTTGTTCATTATAAACGTGGGATTATGAATTATATTGAGAACGTCGTAACGTTACAGAGAAAACATGCCGTAATATACCCTGAGTGTAAACATTAGCCGCATTCATTGTGAAGCGTGCAAGCGATTTGCAAAGATTAATATTTAAAGGTTAATAAAACATTACACTCACTTCTTCTGGAGGTGCAGCAGGAACACGAATAGTTGGATTCTTTTTTCAGGACCAGCTTCTTAGCAAAACTAGATTTACACTGACCCTCGTTTATAAATCAGTCTGGTGAGAAATGATTCGCGCAAACATAAAAGCATTTACGTTGATCTTTGGGAATATTCCCTTCAAAAATAAAACTCAGCCACTGCGTCTTCAGCGGTTCGAGTTTAGGAACATTAAAATGACTGATGTGTTCCTTATTACAGCCAAGATCAGAACACCACAATCGCTTAGACGCCATTCTGCTCCAGTGTATCAACAATGGCGGACTACGCTGACAGCTCGCTCAGGGCGGGTCTGTGTTGAAACGCTGCTGTCAATTATCAATCGTGGGAGGGGCGTCCGATTTAGTGACGTCACAAAATCGAACGGCTCAATTTGAGGCAGGGGAAAACATATAAGGAGATTAAAACAAAAACACTGGATGGATTTTTATCATTATATGATGGTTGTGTACAGGCACTGCCAACACACATTTCAGTACAATCAACTTGTAAAAGTGCATGTACCATTATATGACCCCTTTAAGAATACGGCAATAGAAAATGCTGCTTTCTCACCGCAGCTGAATATGGGCTTCATCTGATTGTCTGCCTTCATGACCACTTATTTTATTTGTATTATTATTATTTTTATTCATATTCATTACCTCTTTATAAAAGCCCTTGAGGCTTTTTATTTTATTTTTGTAAACATTAACTCCAGTGGCCATTTCTTTGCTATAGAGTTTCAAATATTGAGTGGTTGATGTAGACAGCCATTTATTTACCCCTTATTTACACTGCACGTGTCTGCAGCGCGTTACGGCTGTGAAACGGCTACCGGAGCTGATCGTGCCCACTCTAGTCAATGCTTGTGTTTACACCAGCCGCGATGTGCCGCTTCGCTAAAGATAGGCGCATAGTCTATTTCCGACGGACGCCGCGTCCAAGCTGCACCGTAAATACAAAATAAAAGTCAAAAAACACGGTCAATTTCAAAATAAACACCCTGTGCAGACTCCATTGTATTGCACACCAATATATCCTTTGTAGAAAACATAGACTGTAAGGTAGAAACCCCAAAATCAAGAAAAACCACGTCGGACAGGCAAATCACGTGGTTTCGCGCATCCAGTCGCTTCACTTCTGAAATACTCCTGGTGTGAGTTGGCACCGCGTGGTGGACGGAACAAAACCTTGTCTGAGCCGTAACGCGTTGCAGTGTAAATAAGGGGTAAGGGTGCTTTTACACTGGGCTCGTTTGCTGCGGTCCGAGCCCGAGCGCGATTGTTCCCGGCGCCCCCACAGCGTTGGTCTGGTTTCACACTCAACTTGATTCTATCGAGCTTTTGTGTGTTACGTCAACGCAAACGTGCACAGCACATGATAGAAAACAGAACGAGGGTCAATATATTGTGTTTTTTTATTAATTTGGTGCTATAATGCGCAGCTGAGAAAACAACACAGGTTTACTGAGTGTGTCACATAACGTGGCTTTCTGCTGCTTGCAAACGGACTCTTTTGAGGAGACAGTGGATTTCCATAAATTTGTTGTCCTGTTTCCACTGCTGGCTCACTCTCGCTCGTATCCAAGGTAAATCATCAACACTATCATCCCTTAGATGTGTTTTATTTAACTACATCATAATCAACTAAAAACAATGCGCCGATTACTTTACTTCCTGAACAAGTGCGAACCCGAGTTCATGTTGCTTTCACATTCACGGAACCGCAGCACGATTCGAGAGCAACGGAACTCACACCACCTCCTCCAGGTAGTTTCGGGTTCGGTACCCCAGGGCGCATCCGGTCCACATGACAGTGTTCACATTAGCGATTTTTCATGCGAACCGTGCCCCGTTCCGAACTAAACTGCCAGTGTGAAAGCACCCTTACACTATTTAGAGGTGTTGCTCCATGTCAGATATGTTGGGCAGCTTATTTTGCAATGTATTTGTGGGGTATTTTGAATGTGCTGTAAAACAGACATCTCCAAGGATCTCCAACTCCATCTCCAACGAGAGGTACAGTTTTTCAAGCGTCTGCTCATTATCTGTAATGTGACTGCAAACCTGTAAATGCGCCCATCATCTCAAAACAAAGCATCAAACTTCATCATTCTTCCTCTGCTTTTCCTGTCTTTCCTTTTATGCAACACGACAAGATTAAATTAAATACATTTCATTATGTATTACCTCATTATTTCATCCTACTCCATTAAATGTAGGTGATAGAGAACCTTGCGCCGGCCATTCTACGCGGATCTCACGATCACAAACTCAACAGTCTTGGTCATTAGACAGGTAATTGACTAATACCTTAGATGGCTTCTTTCATCCTTGCTCTATCTAAAAGTACTTTGTATAGTCCCCATAGATTTGTATACGCTTGAATTAAAGTAACACTAGCTCCAATCAGAGGTCATGACCACTACTACAGATATTAGCCGACCAAATTTAATTTCTCTGATAGCAGCTTTGGTTTGGTCATTCCATGGTTTCCCATGTACACTCAACTAGAATTATATAAAACAGAGGTAAGGCTCACCCTATTTAGGTTGGTCGATCAACATTTTGTTGTCCTAAACGGAAATTCACCCTTTTAACCTTTGCGGTCTCAGTATTTTTTAAGTAGTGCCAAGTGTTAGCTGGATCTCTAAAACCTCAGTTGGTGTACCCTATGCTCCACTCAAAACTGAAGTTTAGTCCTTCACTAACCTGACGCAGATTTGCGGTAACATAAGCCTTCACTTAATCTACTTGAGAAGTAGTAAGAAGAAGAAGTAGTTTTATTTATATAGCGCCTTATATAGCACCATTGTTGATATATTACTAAGTGTAAGGGGTAGTGAATTTCATTAATTAGGAGCATTTACACTAAATGACTTTCCACCTATACAGTGGACAACCGAAAACGAGGAATGGATAAAAAAAAACATGTTCAGATAATCTAAGGCAGGGGTGGGCAACAGTTTTAGTCTGAGGGCCACAGTTACTTTGGCAAAGTAAACGGAGGGCCACACTTTGGACAATTGCAATTAAACATAGTTACATGATTAAATGGTACAAATTAATTCAATGCAAATATGTATAAGGCTACTCTACAGTTATTTTGACTTTGCCAGCCTATTTCAAGGCCTGATTATTTATTTTTGCTAGGCCTGTCTGACCTATTTTTGCTACTCTGTCTAACTGGATTTACTTTCAAGGATTCATTTCTTACACTACCCTGCATATTGTTCAACTGTCATTCATACCAGCTGTAGCTATTCAAGATAGAAAACTACTAACAAAACTGCAAATGTATGTGTGCAGGTTACATTAACATACATATACAGACTTCAGGCAATCTGGCTTTAAATCTGGAATTATTAAATTGAATTGAGGCTATATACCACCAGAGGGAGACCTTCATCACTGAATGAAAAACATATTCATCTGATTTCAGTTGTGATTATTCATTTTTTTGTAATTTCTTTAACATATTTTGTTTAAATCTTTTATAAAATAGAACACAATTTAAGTGCAGATCAACTTCACACGTATGTTTGCTTGAAAGATATAAAGGACAACATGGAATAGGCCTATGCATCTCACAAAATGTAAATTTGATTTAGCTGCATCATAACCATCTACGGGACATGCATAAGAAATGGCAACATGAAACTGAACAATGTTGTAAAAATAACATCATCAATCAAGCGTAACTTAATGGAACTTTGGCTAGGCCTACTTTAGAAAAATGTATTTCGGCCTATGCAACTGAGATGAAGAGCTTTTTGTCTGTGTTCTGTAACTCACTGTGAACAATTGAGGCGATCGCCTTTCTTTACTAAGTCATCGAAATCTGGGGTCGTGTTCGACGTTGAGATGCGCAACACGGACGACAGGTGTGCGTCGGTTAGTCGTGATCTGTAGCGTGACTTGTTAAAGTTCATTACAGAGAAAGTCTGCTCGCATACATACGTGGACCCGAATAACACGAGCATCCTTTGCGCATGCCTCCGCATGTTAGGAAACTTGCCCTCGTTCAATGCACCGTAAAACCTGTCCAATGATGACAAGGTGAATTTCTCCTTGAGAGTGGGATCGCACTGCATGTCAATCAACTCAAGCTGAGCCTCCAGAGGCACTTGGTCGCTGTCAAAGAAAAAGGGGGTGGACACCAGCTCCATCTCTTTTTCAAGTTTTCCGAAATCAGAGAAACGCCTTTTGAATTCAGTGTGCAGATTCTCGAGTGTAGTGGTGTATGTGACAGTGAGTCGGGATGGCACATCCTTCATTGTAGTGAAAGTTGGGAAATGCGTAAAGCTCTTGTTTGTAATTTGTCAGGAAAACTAATTTGCTCTGAATGCTCGCACGTAGGAATACAGTTTGTGCACGAACACATCCTTCCCCTGCAGCTTCCGATTGAGGTCATTCAAATGGCCCATTAAATCCACAGCAAAGGCAAAGTCAAGCATCCAATCGGAATCTTCAAGTTCTGGAAAGTCACCAGCCTTCCCGACATTCTCCAGAAACACCCCTATCTGACGTCTCAGGTCCCACACACGGCGTAGCACTGTGCCCAGACTCAGCCAGCGGACGTTTGAGTGGTATGGGACATCAGTGTGTTCTGCCTCACTCTCCTCCAACAACTGGATAAACTGGCGGTGGTTAAGCGCCCGGGCCCTGATGAAATTGACAAGTTTCACCACAGTTTTGGTGACGTGATCAAGCTTTAACACCGACTTAGACAAGGCTTCCTGATGAATGATGCAGTGCAAGAAAATCAGAGTTGAGTTGGGGTGGGGTCATCCTCTCTCACCCTGTCCTGTATCCTACGCAATAGCCCAGTGTTCTTCCCGGTGAGGTTTGGACAGCCATCAGTGGTCACGTTCAGTAACTTCGCCCACGGTAGGTTAATTCTCTGCATGCATCCTGACATGTATCATAGAGATCTGAACCCCTTGTCGTCTTCTTCATTGATTCCATCGCAAGACACTCCTCCACTATTTCAAATGTGTCAGTAATTCCTCTGATGAATATAAGCAGCTGGGCAGTGTCTTTAATATCAGTGCTCTTATCCAGCGCTATTGAACAGTATGTGAAATCAGTGGCCCTTTTTAGCAATGCAGATGTCAGCTCATCTGAAAATGGTTTGCTGTGTTTGGCGATTTTGTGTGACACCATATAGCTCACTTTTGTTGCTGACTCCTGTACATTAGACTGCTTGGTAAAAATATTCTGCCTGGCAGTTAAGTTGGAGGATAATCTTGTGGCTTTTTCTTCCCTCTCCTTTGCGGCGAAATTCACGGCATAATTAGCATGTTTAGCACTGAAGTGCCTGCTAATATTATTTTCTTTAAAGACAGCGATGCTCTCCTGACATATCAGACAAATCACCTTTGAGCCGACGATTGTGACGAAATATTTTGACGTCCATTCTTTATTGAATTCTCGACATTCAGAGTCAACTTTTCTCTTTTTTATTGCACTCATTTTGACACATTGTTTATGCCGCCGGCCGTTTAGAATTTGTTACTTTGAGGAGTGAAGAAGAGAAGTAAAGTCGCAAATTGTAATTTCACACAGCGACATCTGTTGGATTGTTTTTAATAGCAGGATCGCAGTTCAGATAAATGCGGTGTGTGTTTCATCCAAATTCGGATCCGGCCCCCAGGCCGTATAATGCCCATGTATGATCAAAGAGACCGGGCTGGGAAGTATAGTAGATCTGACCGATATGGAGGTGAAAGACCATTTAATGCCTTAAATACGTGAGGCCAGTGAAGATCATGCAGTAGAGGAATAATGTGAGCAGAACATACTGTAATCTTGCAATACGTTTTTTGGGCAGACCAAAAAAAAGAGCGTCGCAATAATCCAGACGTGATGTGATTAACGCATGAATTAAGATAGAGTGAGAGAAGATCGAAGATGTGCAATATTACGAAGATTGAAAAAAATACTTTTTAAAAACTGAAGAAATATGAGAGGCAAAACATTAATATTTCAGTTTTGTTATTTAGTTTAAGGAAATTCAGAGACATCCAATGCTTGATATCCCTGCTTTCTGTCGCTGATGTAAGAAGTGAGCCAGGAATAACTAGAACCAGTGATGCTGATATCAGAAAGGCAACCCGCAACAGTGTCTGCAGTTGAGTGTGATTGCGTGAGCATTATTGTCTGGAGGAGTATGTTTCTTTGACTCGTTTGCAGTTCTTTTTGGTCTATTTTTTATCTTTTCTATTATTCCATGGTGGTTTTAGAAAGGTGGGGGTCATATCTTTGCTGGTTTTAATACTCTTATTCAACTTTGCCACTGGAACATTACCAAATCGGATTCAATATACCGAGACTTTCTCCTTGGATTGAACACAGGCAGCTTGGTGCCGAGGCAACTCAAACTATCCCCTGTTTAAGGACATTACGGATTACAATTACCAGCTCTTTAGTCCTGAAGAAGATTGCAGGACTAGAAGGAAAATACGAAAAATAGGCAAGAAGGAAAATATGAAAAATAGGCAAGAAGGGTGGCGTGAGAATGTGAGAATTTTAATACCCTTAATAGTCCTTGCTAATGTCCAGTCGGTTAAAAACAAGATGGACGAACTTCAGGCATGAGTATCGGTAACACTTTAAGGTAAGGGTACATGAATTATCACGAATTCATGTATAAATTCATGCATGAATTAGGCATTAATTCATGCATTAATATCTCATGAATAATCAGGAACTAACACAAATTCAACCCTTTCATGAATGACTTCATGGATGAACAACACCTTATTTAAAACATTAACTAAGATGAGTACATCATCATGAACTATGATTTATTACTCATGATCATGATGTTTTTTTTGTTCACAAAAAAATTGGTCTTTACTATCCATTGTGGATAAAGCTACGGTTATGGTACATGAATCATCATGAACTCATGCATAAAAAAGCATTAATTCATGCATGCAAGAGTACTCTTCGAATTATTAAAGGAATATACAAAAATCTTACCTCATACATGCATACAGGCTAGAACAGTATATCAATTAATGTGAGAACTGTTTTTCTGAATTATGATCGGAGTTATCCAGCATGTTCATGTCTTCTTCATAGCCTGCAGGTAAATGGACAGACCCCAAATTTGGCCAATCACAGCACATAGCACACAAATTCTGTTGACATTCAAATACAGTCATCATTAACTAAGCATTATCTTTTAATGACTTCATCATGTTTGTGGCCCCTCAACTAAAGTGTTGATTTGGTCCTTTGAAACACTGATGAACAATGTGCTATGAAAACCCCAAATTAAAAATTAGAATCCACAATGTACAGGTGATTGGTAAAGATTGTACAAAATTGGTAAAGACCAATTTTTTTGTGAACAAAGAAAACATCATGATCATGCGTAATAAATCATAGTTCATGATGATGTACTCATCTTAGTTAATGTTTTAATTAAGTTGTTGTTCATCCATGAAGTCATTAATGAAAAACGTTGAATTTGTGTTAGTTCCTGATGATTCATAAGATATTAATGCATAAATTAATGCCTAATTCATGCATGAATTTATACATGAATTCATGATAATTCATGTACCCTTACCGTAAAGTGTTACCTGAGTATCTTACACACATGAGTTCAGAGATTTTTTCTACAAATTTTATCTACGATTTAATGTGGATGATGATACTGTTGTCACGTATCTGGTCCATTCACTTCCGGACATTCACCACCAGAGGTCTCCCACTCACAGCATGGACTCTTGCACTTCACTACAATCCCCATCATTCATTGCACTGACGATTCACACAGCTGATTCCACTAATCACGCTCACACTTGAGAACCATCACACACCCTTTATAACCCTTGGACTTCCTCTCTCTGTTGCCGGATATTGTTTCTTTGTACTGTATTGTCAGCGTTTAACACTCCCCAAGTGTTAGCTACTTACTGAGCCTTCCATTGAACTGTAGTCTTGCCTTGTCCTTCGTGTTTTGATTCCTGCCTGTGTCACTTGGATTCTCCCTCAGCCTAGCCCTTCGGATTCTGTTTGCACCTCGTCGACCCACGCTTGCCCTTAGGGTTTCTCTGTGCTATGCCTCTGCCATACCTGTCTGCTGTTCATTGACCTTGCCTGTACTAAGACTACGTTTTTGGAATAAAGCCTTGCGAATGGATCTGTACGTCTCTCCTCTGGTTCGTTCTGTAACAGAATATCCGGCCAAACAAGGATCCAGCGGCTTTTCGGAAGAACACTGGTCAGGTATGAACCTTGCAAGACTGTTACTAGCCCTAGAACAGGGTAAGCGACCGCTAGAGGTATATATTCGCTAGAGGTATATGGAGTTAGCATATTTTTCTGATCTGCCTGATTGCGTTCTCATTGACTTTTTTTGTGACGGCATAAATCAACCCTTAAGATCTCGATTAATCCATGAGGGTCCTCGTACATCGCTCAGTCATTTTTTAGATTATGCTCTACTATTAACAGGGTCATTTTTCACTGTGGGGTTCGCAGAGGAATGCACCATTCCTTCCGTGCCTATAATGGCAGCCGCACCAGAGCCTTGTTACGTCTCAGCAGATCTTCCAGAGCCCTGTTACGTCTCAGCAGATCTTCCAGAGCCCTGTTACGTCTCAGCAGATCTTCCAGAGCCCCACCAAGTCACAGTTGATCGTCACGAGCCAAGCCAAGTCACAGTTGATCGTCACGAGTCAAGCCGAGTCACAGTTGATCGTCACGAGTCAAGCCGAGTCACAGTTGATCGTCACGAGTCAAGCCGAGTCACAGTTGATCGTCACGAGTCAAGCCAAGTCACAGTTGATTTTCCAAAGTCTCGTCATGTCACCACTGACCAGCCAGAATCTTCTCACGTCCTGTCTGCCACACCCAGATATTCAAGGTCAGTGCTTCGATTTCCCAGTCTGGTTTCCAGTGTGAGGGATGCACCACTGGTTTCTGCACGCACAGCTGGTATCCCCAAACCCACTCACTTTGATCCCTCTGATCCTGCACTGATTACCCTGTCAGAAGCGCTTCCCATGATGGGGATCGCTCTATGTTGCGTTTGGGCTGCGTATACCACCTCAGAACTGCCCCAGGCTAAGGAACCCGCTGCAGTTAATCCAGAGGTGGCGGCACGAGCTGCAGAACCTCTTGAAGCGGCGGTGTTCGCTTCAGCCCCTTGTATGGTGGTTGCGCCCAGCAATGTCCTCTCAGCCTGTCATGTCAGGGTCAAAGGAACCATAGATGAGCACGGTACCTGTCTTGTTAATGAACTTTACCAGATTCTTGATGCTACCACTGTAGAACCTCCAGAGGTGGCGGCATCTGCTGCAGAACCTTTGGAGGTGTCAGAGGCGACTATTTATGAATTCTTGTCCAGCCCTGTTACCCATCCAGAACCTTCACCACTGGTCCTGTCCAGTCCAGGGTCTTCACAGCTTCACGTCGGCCACGTCCAGCCAGAGCTTCACGTCAGCCACGTCCAGCCAGAGCTTCACGTCAGCCACGTCCAGCCAGAGCTTCACGTCAGCCACGTCCAGCCAGAGCTTCACGTCAGCCACGTCCAGCCAGAGCTTCACGTCAGCCACGTCCAGCCAGAGCTTCACGTCAGCCACGTCCAGCCAGAGAGTCACCACGACATGCCTGGGCTTCATGCCGAGCCTGCACTTCACGTCAGTCCAGCCGAGCCTGCACTTCACGTCACGTCCGCACAACCAAAAACTGTCCGCGTCACGTCCGCACAGCCAGAGACTGTCCGCGTCACGTCCGCACAGCCAGAGACTGTCCGCGTCACGTCCGCACAGCCAGAGAGTGTCCGCGTCACGTCCGCACAGCCAGAGACTGTCCGCGTCACGTCCGCACAGCCAGAGACTGTCCGCGTCACGTCCGCACAGCCAGAGACTGTCCGCGTCACGTCCGCACAGCCAGAGACTG